AAGAAACTTCCATAACTGCAAGAAGAGTTAGCACTCACATGCTACATCCACTCTTATTAACACTAGAATCATTTTCGTTAACATTGATAATTTCAGAAGGTTCATTACCTGCCATTGTACATCCCACCACAGCTATGCATTTGTTCAAAAAGATTTCACATCAAAAAGCGGTGAGTAACTAATTTAGGTAACGACAATAGGCCGGGTGCCGTGAACTTCGCTTAAAGAGGCTTCCTCTTATTATTCAGACGCCACGTCTTCTTGCACGTGAAACTTCACAAGATCATAAAGACGACCATCCCGCGTCAAGTAGAGATAGTGATGCAATAAAACCTAGCACTGGCGAGGAAGCTGATGATGGTCCAAAGCGCTTTATACATCTTCCTAATGAGCTGCAGATGACAATTTTACAATATTTGTCATATGACGACATTGCCAAAATAAGGAGGGTTAGTTATCGGAGCTCATTTGCATTTCTCTCCCTCGTGGGAGCTCATTGTTTTATCTAACAAGTTTCTATTCGATGACTTCTTTGCAGACTTGCAAATTACTGAACACACTATGCTCCTATTTGCTTAATAGAGGTTTTCAACAGTTAGGAATTGATATAGATAGGGAGAAGTTGCGAATCAAAAGAGAATTACCCAGAAGAGAATCAATGAGGAGGTGAGTTAAGGGTTCTCACAATCAGTATATTCTGAATGCTTCAACTTAATAGTGATTACATAGGTCTCACCGACTTTCAAGACTTAATGATGCCTACGCCGGTTTGGATACACGATTTTCCATCATGGCCATGACCTATAGAAAATTCATTGATATGAAGGTCACCTGTTTCATACCAGGAAAGGTTTGTTTTTCACCTAGTTAACTTCCTTTGTCTACTTATGATCACTTTCTTACAGGTCCTCGACGAATTCTTCCGGATAATTGATATTCTAAAGAAGTCACACGATAAAGGAGGAACGCTGGCTATAGACATCCATGAGCTTCTAAAAGATTTGAGGGACTTGTCCAGGTATTTGCTGTTAATCGAATCAGGCTGGGGCTTAAGAAAAAATCCAAACAAACGATGAATACTTATATTTTTTATCAGTTTGTAAAATATTATTATAAGTTGCGACCTGAATTCGGGCCATTCTTTGTAGGCAGCGGTAACCTTCATATTTATCATCACATTTTCACACTGACTTTTTGTCAATTTCTGACAGCTTCTACTTGACTATGCTTGCCTGTCTGTTCTGAGTAGCGTTGCTATGATGACAGAAACATGCCTCTCTCCTTTCCCGAAATTTTAGTATACCATATTGATTCTATCTTTGATAAAGTGGCACAAGGAAATCTAAATTATAAACTTGAAAATGGACAATGGTCCTCCGACAACCGTTTATCACAACCGTTTTACCTGATTAACATTCACTTTGTCCCAAGGTCATTCCCTTTTTTCAATTTTGTGCGTATCGAACACATTATCTTCTCAGCATGGCAATGGAACATTTCGAGGAGCATGTGCAACCTTCGCTCAGCACTAGTACAACTGGGTCCCTGTCTTCGACGTACTTCATGTCCGTACATCCATTACTGCGTCCTTCAATACAGACGCCATCGTCACTGAGGTAGGCGTTCTAGTTTTGATTTCCCCATGTTTCCATTTACCATATTAAAAGCAAGCGATGAAGTGAATCTCAATGAGGAGGAATATGCTTGCTATAAATCAGCAAGGATGAAGGAACGAGCGCAAGGTTTTGCGGTGCAGTGCAGCTCCGCAAAACCTTATGCTGTTCTTGTTGCAGCGACTTCCAAGCCCTTAATAGGGTTGATGGATTACTTCGTGGCAGCTCTCGCCTCAAAGTGGCAAACTTAGCTTACAATTAGCATTGGCTTTTATTGCAGATGGGATTTGAGTAGTTGCGCTAGCGCAAGAGATAGAGAGAAAGCAAGATTCACACTGATTACATCTCCTACCGTAGAATCTCGTTCAGTGAGGAAATCGGAAGGTATAAAAAGATACCGTTTCGGCATCTATGGCGCCCTTCGGTTGTTTTCTTCACCACTGCACTACGCGTCACCTTTATCCCATTTTAAAAGTGATTTACGTAATGTCTTTTATTAAAAGAACATGGCACAGTTCGCTGCTGCAGATAGAAATCGTAGATCCAATGTTCGTGAGGGCTTTCTCATGCCTGGGCCCTTTCAATAATAGAATCAAAGTGAAGGATTATGCTTCAAAGACAGTTCTTAGTTCACACCGCACCTAATTGCGCACTCTGGACGCGCATGCCCTTAGAGGCAACTATCCACCCAACCGGGCTAACCCTAACTACTTCTGAGTTATCGTAGTGAGGAATCCGCCTCGGTTAACAAATGTTTGCTGTTACAATTGATTAAAGAGTTGAGGAAAAAATAAAGTCCGGAAGTTGCACGGAGTTTGATTCCTAGATGAGCTTCGTTTCGTGCAAATCTCTCACAACCCGTTCCACGGAGAACGGGCTGCGGGAAGTAAGGAAAATGCCATGCAGCTTTTTTTCGATTTCTACTTACATCTTTCCAGAGACGTGGGACAGCTGTGAGTGGCGCAAAAACGTTACGGATAAATTGGCCCAACAAGACAAAATCATTCGTAAACAAAGTGCTGAGATAATATCCCTCAAATCTTGTATACGACAACTGGTTCTGGTGTGCACACAGGTAATGATTTAATACATTCATTTAAGGCTTTCCTATTTTTCTTTCTGGTAGTTCAGAGAATCAGAAAGTGATACGCAAGTTGAAAGCCCAGAATATATTTCTCATCCAAGGCTCAGATAGTATGTGGTAAAGTCGACGAAAGACCTTTCTTTCAATTTTAGCATTATACCACTGCGCGTTTTGAGGTGGCAACGTACCAATTAATAAATCACTTTGATCATATCATGTCTTACAGTATTTTCTTCAAGCTTTAATTATTATTAATCGGACTAGTCATGTGGCTTATTTAGCTAACCGATCCAGTCTCGCAGAAAGGAATGGACGACATTTTAGAAGGGGTACTTGATACAGTGTCCATGGATAGATCACCCGTGAGTTTTGTTTGCAAATCACTAGAAATATTTCTGGATGTGGTGGTATTTCTGTAATTTTTATTTTCTTTGAATGCGCGTGATCAGTGAAGAAAATATTACTTATGATAGCTATTTGTGAGGGGAAGGGAAGGTGGAGGTGAGAGCTTCTAGTTACAATACTTCGTGGAATTTTACCAAATTTTTCTCATTTAGCGTATCAAGTTAGTTTGGTATGCCTTCGAAATGATTTAGGTCATGTTCTAATTCAGGCATGTCAAGTGAGCACGCAGGAACCTTCAACTTCTAGCAGTGATGTGAGAGGAGATTCACTTAGGAGATGTTACAAGCGAATCCACGGAAGACAACACTCACATGAATCCTGCGCAAGGAAAAGGCCAAGGTCCGATGACTCCGCAGATGAAGATCGAACGCTTGAAAGGCTGGTCTAGAAAATAAAACGTTCACCGAGACACAATCGGAGAAGCTGTATGATATTGTGCGGCGCAACCTTCATGTAAAATAAAGAAGACAAATTGAATAAATATTTTTGGCACCTATGAATCAGATTCAAATAGTTAAGAAATTGGCCACAAAATAGATATGAATGGCGATAGCAGACTGAAGAAGAAATCACAGACAATCACGATTCAATCACCAATGATCAAGCAAACTGAGACAAGAATTGAGCGGACACTATATTTACAACAGAGGTTAGCAAGAAGGAGTCTCAAGTTTTTTAAGAAGGTAATAGTCAACCAGTACACCAACATTAATTCGGAAATTCTCCAAGTGGCTTGCTATGTGCTCAATACAAACGTCGTCTAAGCCGTCCTTTCCGAGGGCAACAGCTTTCAATATAGTCCTGCGGTAAGGGGCAGCATGAATGACAAGCTGAAAGAAACAAAAGAAGGTGTTGCAAATGTTCACTCAAACTGAAAAATGTTTACCTTAAATAATTGTTTTGACATGAATCCATGATGGCGTTTGAGTGATTTTTCGTATGCCTTATTGATGACTCCGACTAGATTTTCCGTCTTACTTTTATCTGGCGTAGATCTGTACTCCTGCACCATCAATGTGAGCATTTCCAGCATGAACTCGAGTCCTCTGAAAATAAGTCCACCTAGAAGAAAAAATACAGGACCTTTTTTTAACTAACCTCTTCAACCACAGAAGACCTTCAGTGGCGATTCCGAGATTGCCTCCGTGGTCTCTTAGATCGCTGTCTATCAAATCTTGCAAATAGCGTTGACCTGAATAGATTCGACAGCAGTTGGCAGTACTGCGTAT